TTTTGTCTTAAAAACTTCAAAATCTAATTTCTCGCAAAGTTTTTGTTAAATTTTTATAAAAAATTGTGGGTCTATAGAGCATCCCTGAAGCTATCTTTTGAAGACCTAAAAATGTTTCTATAGCCAATCTTTATATACGACGACCTTTTTGCAATCGAAGTATCGCCCAACTGCCAGCAGCAGGACTCAATTTTCACATTTTTCTGAATTTTTGTGCGCGGGTTTCAACCATCGGATGGATTTGCTACAATCAGAAATTTCTTCCAGATCAACAATTTTCGGGCACATTTTGTAAAAAATGTCGAATACAAATTTTGTAGAAAAAAATGTGAAAAATCGCGCCTCAAGTCTTTCTTTCAGCCCAAAAAATTTATATAAAGATTTGCTGGAGAAACATTTTTAGGCCTTCAAAAGATAGCTTCAGGCATGCTCTATTAACCCACAATTTTTTATAAAAATTGAACAAAAACTTCGCGAGAAATTAGCGTTTGAAGTTTTTAAGACAAAAATACACCGGTCGTACGACCTTTTTGCAATCGAAGTATCGCCCAACTGCCATCAGCAGGACTCACTTTTCACATTTTTCTGAATTTTTGTGCACAACTTTCAACCATCAGGTGGCCTTGCTACAATCAGAAATTTCTTCCAGATCAACAATTTTCGGGCCTATTTTGTAAAAAATGTCGATTACAAATTTTGTAGAAAAAAATGTGAAAAATCGCGCCTCAAGTCTTTCTTTCAGCCCAAAAAATTTATATAAAGATTTGCTGGAGAAACATTTTTAGGTCTTCCAAAGATAGCTTCAGGCATGCTCTATTAACCCACAATTTTTTATAAAAATTGAACAAAAACTTTGCGAGAAATTAGCGTTTGAAGTTTTTAAGACAAAAATACACCGGTCGTACGACCTTTTTGCAATCGAAGTATCGCCCAACTGCCATCAGCAGGACTCATTTTTCACATTTTTCTGAATTTTTGTGCACAACTTTCAACCATCAGGTGGATTTGCTACAATCAGAAATTTCTTCCAGATCAACAATTTTCGGGCACATTTTGTAAAAAATGTCGAATACAAATTTTGTAGAAAAAAATGTGAAAAATCGCGGCTCTAGTCTTTCTTTCAGCCCAGAAAATTTCTATAAATATGTGCTGTAGAAACATTGGCCCCTATTATGAGTTGCATTCGTTCTTCGACCGTGGTCGAAAGGGCTGCTCGAATTTTCATTTGGTGTTAAGGCGCTCATTCGATGAAGAATAGCGCTATTGTGAATTTCGCTCGTTTAAGTTGTTCACAATAGTATATTTTTCACCGCTGAGAAGCTTTGTTTACAAATCGAGCACACTAAATAGTGTGCTTATGTAAATTTGTGCAAATTAAATTAGTGAAAACGTGAAAACCAGTCTTAAGTCAAGTGTAGCCACTGTAGAACCAGAGAACGTTTATAAATTTTATTTATAAATTTATAAACGTTTTTAAATATATAAACGTTCTCTGTATTTAGTCCTATCCGTTTCCGATAGTGCATTTTCGAACCAAAACAGCAGTTGTGGTACCGCAGTTATAGAAACTTCTCACTCGCAGGTGGGGCTTTTGTCTACATGGAAACCACAGTGGCCCTAAACTGATATGCGGTCGTTTAGTTGGCAAGCCTCTCAAACTGTCGACACGCTACTTTGCTTTTGATACAGGAAATATTTGTTATAATGCGTGAATTTCCGAAATTGTTTTTTCGTTTGATATTTTTTGTATTAGAATACCAATTTTTCTCAAAGTAATGGCACCAATCGAAAGTGGAAGTTTTTGGCTAAAATTTAAAAATTCTGAAGCGCTTTTACCATGCCCACTTTTATCCTTTTTTGAGGCCCGAAAAAAATTAGAAACTGAATTTTTACTAAATAAAAAGTTACTTTTTTAATTTTAAGAAAATATGAAAATTTTTCATGAATCTATAAGAAACTTCTCAACTAATGGTCTAAAAACGAGTAATGAGAATTACGTGGAAATATTCTAAAATAATGTTCAAAGATGGACTTGAGATCCGTTAAAATTGTTTTAATTTGTGGCAACGCTGTGTCGCTACATGTCAAAAAACAGCAACTTCTGTCAAGGCAATGTGACATTCGATTTCCGTTCCTGCTTCCGCTTGTCAAGAAAAGTTTCTGGAAAAACGTCGTCACGTGAAGATAAAAAAGGAGTTTAGTTTTATGAGTATCTGCGATCATAATATTCGTTTGCTCTAGTAAATATTAATAAAAGTGTGAGCCCAGCAGTCATAAATTTAATGTTTTTTCTATTAAAACCTTTCGTTTCGCCAACAAAGCAGGCACGAGTGGAAAGAGGGAGTTTTTGTCTAAAATTGGAAAATGAGAAAATGCTTTTGCCGTCCCCTTTTATTTTTTTTTGGGGCATTTTTCTAAATAAAAAGTTAAAATTTTAGTTTTCAGAAAATATGAATCTATTTTGAGAATCTAGAAGTAATTCCACAACTAATAATTTAAAAACGAATAACAGAAATTGTGTGCAAATATTTGTTACAAATTTTCAAAACTTGATTTCCGTTATGCGTACGAGCACTTTTCGCACCGGAAGTTTCATATACAAAAATTTTACATGCAAGGGATTCGAAATCATATGGGGCGTCGACTGCGGTATTTTTCAAAAAAATCGGAATAACGGTTAAAAAGGTTTGTTTTAGAACTTTGAAGAATATCAATGGCTATTTTGCTATTTTTCTGGACTAAAATTTTTCTTAATTAAATTTTCGAAAAAATATTTTCTATTTCTAATGGCTTATGAATTTCTACGTCGTTCCCTGTCCGGTTTTGAAATTTTCAGCCCCTAAACAATAGCGTTATTTCCGTCGAGAACTTGCTTCTCAAGGACACTTTTTCGAAAAAGCGAATTTTTCTGAAAAACTGTATGAATGCGGCGAATTTTCAAAGCTGTTTTTAAAGAGATAATAAAATAGTTATAGGTTTCTGACCAATATACAAATATTATTAGTTTAGCCGATAAACTTAAGTAAAATTGGAAATTTTTGCGTGCTGCTTCCTTCTCGGTACAAAACTAAAACTAAACTGATTTTCAACACGAAAAATATATTTTCTTTCACTTTAATGCAATACAAGTAAGATTGGGAAAAGCGTAAAAAATGTTTGCTAATAATAATTTACAATAATTTTTCCACTTAAGTATTATTATTTAATACATATCTAAATATATGCCTACACATAAATACAAGGTTGTTAAAAGCATTTCAATGCACCTAAAATTTTTACATCACACTTTAATTAACGAAGATTTGCTTATAGCCAAATTAAGCTTATTTTGACAAATTTTTTGTACATACATTTTTAATTTTCGTTAATACTTGAAGAATCACAACATTCGTTGGAAAATTTAGCAGCATCGGATTTAGAGAGCTTATCTTTGTACAATTAAGTTTTGCGTACAAATGTAGGTTTTTACTTAATCTAAAGCAGGGATCACACGATTTATATATCTGCACAGATTTGTACATTTCAATAGTTGCAGTGTGCGTTTGCCTGGAAATTTTTTTATTAGCTGAACTTATTCTCGATAAAAATTCCTAGACAACACCACTCTGAGAGTGCCAAAATGTACACATCTGTACAAATGCACAAATCCTGTAATCCTTGCTTAACTTGTTCGATTTTTTATGACATTTTTTTTTTTTTTTTTGACAAAGGAAAAACTGGAAAACCTCACTAAATTACTTTAAGTCATTTTTTCTATTGCAAATAGATAAATAAAAAAATGCATTACAAGTTTTTAGCGGGAATCTATTTTTGGTTGAAATTTTAAACGAATGTGATGCGTACATGCCTTAAGATAAAATAGGCAAAATTTATATAATTTTCACTTAAAGCGGGATTTTTGTTCTTATACATTACTCGCCCATTGGTAAAATAATATGAAATCATGGTTATTAAAATAAAAAATCAACAAAGTTATTGAGCCTAAATTTTCTTTTCAAACGAAATGCATGCTATTTAGATCGATGCACAAGATTTATATAATAGATTTCTCTGCGATTAAATTTTGACTAAATCTTTTTATAAATCACACTTTATTTAAAAATAAGCTTTTTCTCCTTCGTAGGTATGTACGTGCATTAACGTGCATCATCCTCTAAATAAAAAAATCGGTGCTGTTTTTTGATCGAAATTATAAAATTTAATTTAGTTTAAAACTTCCGCCAAAATATTTCGGAAAACTATCAAGATTTACAAGAGCTGGACTCGTTTGAAAATTTCCTAAAAAATCGATTTTTTTTTTTAAATAAAATGCTCTGTAAAGATATTTTTCCACAGAATCATTTGATAGAACAATTTAAGCTTAAAAGGTCTGCAAATAAATGTTTGAAGACTTTATCAACGCAATCATAATAATGAAATCTTTCGAGTATTTTCAAATCGGTCTAGCTCACGTAAATCTTAAAATGTTTCCGAAATATTTTGGCAGAATTCTTAGAGTATAATAAATTTTATTATTCCGGTGAATAAACCGCTACTTTTTTTGGAGAGGCACCTTAATGGACATACTACATACACATATATGTATATTACTGTAGTACTGTTTTTCCATTTGAATTATAAAATCTATTATATTTTAAGAAGTCCACCAAAATATTTTGGAAAAATATTAAGATTTACGTGAGCTGGACCAATTTGAAAGATTTTTAAATATTTGCATGCAGATTTTTTTAAGCTTTATCTGTTTTGTCATCTGGGGGCACTTTTTTCCGAAAGTTCTTTAAGAAACTATTTTTATTCATACAAAACTTAATTTTTGGAGGTATTTTCAAATCGTTCCAGCTCACGTAAATCTTAATATATTTCCGAAATATTTTGGTGGACGTCTTAGAATATAATAAATTTTGTAATCCCGGCGGAAAAACGCAACTTTTTTTGGTGATGCAGTCTAATATATATACTACATACATCATATACATATGTACTTATGTCTATATAGTAGCTTTGTATTTAAATATTTTTTTTTTAATTTTTCGCTTTTAAACTTTAACATAAGTAGAGATTTCTGGCTCACTTTACATTAAGATTTTAGGCAACTATAATTCATTCTTGCTGCATTATTTGTATTATTTTATAAATTTTTTCTCTTTTTTCAACTCTTTTTTAATACAAAGTGAAAAATAATTTGCGAATTTATCCTTAGCATTCTAATAATTTCGCTATTAAAACTAAATCATAAAAAACAGTCTAGACTCCAGCCAGCATCTCACACACATACTTACACTTGTTATACACGCATACATACATACATATATACAACAGCACCACCACGCTGCTTAACACTTCACGACATTCACATTATTGTCACTCCTGCACTCCGTAAGGAACATTTGCAGCCATTTTCCTCGCTTACATCGCCACCTCCTCCTCCTCCTCTTGCTACTCGTCCTACGCCAGTGCATCGCCCGCATCAAACATAACTCAAACGTCTATTCTGCGATCGCTTTCTGCCCGATGATGAGCGACTATAGTTGTGACTATGGTTGTGACTCTGATTGCGTATGCTGCTAAAGTGACCCAGGCTCATGCTCAGGTTCGAATCGAATGCGGTTTGCGTCTGCGAACGTGGATCGGTCATTAGAGAGCAGGAGGTGGGTACTGCTTGGCAATAGCGCAGCAGCTGTTGCTTGAAGGCGGCCGTGGTGAGCGTGTAGAGCACTGGATTTAGCGCCGAATTCACAGGCAACACAAGCACTGCGAGCCAAGCGTAGAGCGAGGGGGAAATGGCACAGCCTAAATGAGGGGATAGAAAGTGAGTTGGATAATAAAGCAATTAAGAGGTAAGCAGTAAAGATTTGTTGACCTGACCTGAGAGCGCCGCCACTTTCACGACAATTATGGGCAGCCAGCAGGCGCAGTCTGTAGTCACAATAATGGCGAAACTGTAATGAAAGTATAATTTATATCCAAGACATAGACAAAAATATGTATTTACAAAGCCGAATTAGCAATAAATAAAAGTGACACTTAATACGCCACAAGTTGAGTCTGGAAAACAGGTTCTCTTTTATTTTTTATTTTCGCTTGTGTTTTCTTCTTGTTTTGTTAAATAAAAAAAAAACAACTACCATTGACACGCGCCAACAACTCATACCAAGCCTAAAGGCCAAAACACACACAAACACTCACAAACACTCACAAATAACCAAAGTTCACTCACCGCGTTGCCACAACATTTTCGCGTCCACTCAACGTACTCCGCATGCCGCCACCCGAATCGCGTATTGCCTGCAACATTCGAATATAGGAATTCGAAATGAAAATCAGTGAGATGGTGTTGATGAGTATGAACAGTAGTGCTGAATACTCCCAACCCTGCAAGAGAAGGTGAGGAGGGTAAGTAGAATAAAAAAATGGAAACAATTGAAAATGTAATGTAAATAACTTTCTTGGCATAACAAAGGAGTCTCAGTAAAAAATCAAAAATTTACAGCGAAAAAAATAAGTAAAAAAGTATGAAAGCAATTTGCACCTCAACGACCAAAGAAACCGAATTGTGTAAACAAATAACTTTTGTGGCTGCTTACAAATGGCAATTTTTTTATTTACACATACACATGCTTCGCCTTTGTTTGTGTTATTTGTAGTTGTAGGACTTATTATGATTGTAGTTATTCACTGCATGAATTTGTACCCAATGAGCAAAAGCTTCAGAGCTTTTATGTATATTTCTCCTTGCGACGAGAACCGGATATTTCTAAAAAAAGGAAACAACCAATATACTTACGAAACTATAGGTCAGATACTGCGTTTTTGTTTTTCTCTCTGATGTCAGGATTTTTGTAAAAGGACTTTGTAATTTCAATGTTAAATATGATTAATTTCAAAAATTATTGATAATATTCAGACTACCAAATGAAAGAGAAAATTCAATAGAATTAGGTATTGAAAATGCCCTTTTAATTAATTTTATTTTTTACACTCACAAAGTTAGAAGGCGAAATTCGAGGATGTGGTCGTGTGTATATTAGTCCTTAACAAAAAATTTTTCAAAAATACATATTGCGAATTTTCAAGATATTTTTAAATTTTCAATTCTCCAAAATTTTCCCTTTTAAATGATAGCCATATTGTTATTTTACATATATTGCACTGAGTTTCTAAGTAATTTTTTTAATTAATCATATCTTTAAAATTTCAAATCCTGCCGTCAGAGGGAAAACCCCACAAATGTAGCTTTTTTATTTTTGGCCCCTAGTTTCGCGAATATATTGTTTTTTGTTTTTTTTTGTGTGTAAAATTGACTGTCGCACGGCGTTTCCATTTAAATAAGTCAGATCAGCAATCAAGCAGAGCCCGAAAATAAACCGTTTATCGTTTGGGAGCAGAAAATAGTTAAATTCTTACTTTAAAAGCAAGATGAGAATTGCAGAGCACCAGGTGAACGAGTGAAGTAGAGGAGCTAATATCTGATCATATAACTTTTTTCCGCCCGAATGGGACCTAAGACCCTTGAGCCTCTCTACCACTATGAGTAGAATTTCACCACAAGCATTTGGCTGTTATGGCTTTCAACGCTCTCGCCTCAATGTAAAAGGCTATAGCTGAATAAAGTGCTGAATTCCTGAAGAGTTAAGGACGCCTAAAAATCCGTTTGTGGAGTTCTAACTGCTAGCACTTATTGCTGTAGCAAATTAATTTTATGAGGCTGTCGAGAATTACAATAAACATAGCTGGTGAATGAAATAGTTCTAAATTCGCTCTAAACGCTTTCGAGCAGTATTGGAGTAATGGAAATCGTACACTAAATTTTAGTAGATATATAAAATTCTTTGATGGATCAGAATTTTATTGTATGCCCATTTTTGGACTTAAGTTAAGGAGAGAGAAAAGAAGATTGGTCGGAAAAACAAGCTTTTTTATGTGAGTCTTGAAGCTGTCAAAGAAACTGAGACACAGTTCTCTGAACAGCAACTTACTTTCTATAAAGAGGTTTTTTTTTTGAAGGATGGGTGGCCTCTAGTAATTACTTAATTTATATTACCGGAATTTGAACTGTCATTCTCATTCTCCCAGCAATGGTTTCTGCGCTGGGCTTGGGACTCGCCCAGCCTTGGAATATTGGAAGATGGGATGACGAACTGTATGAGCCTTTTAACGACATGGACATAGTTAAGCGCATAAAAATACAGCGATTGAGTTGGCTTGGAAATGTTGTGGGCATGGAAGACGACGCTCCGTTGAAAAGATGCTTCGACTCCGCACCCATGGGTGAACAACGAAAGCAAGGGCGGCCACGAACAAAATGGAAGGACCAAGTGCAGAAGGACCTAAAAATATTCAACATAGAAGTCCAGAAAAATGTTAGAGCCTTTATTACAGTAGTCAGTCCCGAAAGATCTCAATAGAAAAGTTGTCTCCATCACTGGGCGATTAAATATTTACGAGATCTTCCAAATGCCACAAATAAGCTCGTAGTGTCAAAGTTTACATCTAACTAGGCTAGTTGTCAGTACGAAAGCCGATTTCCAAAACTTTTTGTTCAGTGGGTAATTATTTGTGGGCATGTACATATGTAGATACATAGTATGTATATACATACGTATGTATGTGTGTAAGTAATTTTTCCTATTTGATGTACATATGTATGTATATAATATTCTAAATTTCCATCTTTTTATTTGCTTCACTTACCTTGGCAAAGGGATCGTGTATATGCAGCGACAAACAAACACCATTAGTACCATAAAAGTGTCCACCGAAATATTTTATTGGTAGAAATGGCAAGGCGGCGAGCACAAATGACACGCCCCAGAGGAGGACGAGACGAAAGGCAATTCTGTAAATAGAAATTAATGTAAATTAGAAACAGAGTGAAGGTAAGAAAGAAAAGCGTGGACATCGAAAAATGGAGTTGATATCTATGTAAATGAGTATGTTGCTTTCAGATAGATAAACATGTCATTTTCGCTCTATATCTTTTCATTTCTTCTCGACCGTTAAAAAATAACCATAGCTCCATATATTAAGAGGGTAACATAAAAAGCGAGACAAAGATTTTGCATTTATTTATCTGTACTCATGGATGTAAAAATTTGACATACATTTTTATTCTCTTGGTTAAATAAATTATGCCCAATCTTATGAATTCTATTTCCAGTTTTAAAATCAGTAAAACTTTATGTACCGTTTTTAAATTACCCAATTTATCCTACTTTAATTCCAAATTTAAATTACCAACAAATTATTTGCAGTTTTAAGAATTCCATATCCAGCTTTTGATTTAGCAATTTTTTTTCACTTTTTAAATTACCTGGAAATTAATTTCACTTTCCAAATAACCTAATTTTTGGAAGAGCACCTTTTTTCAGTTTTTAAGTAAAAATTACTTTTAGAGGACCAAAAATGTATTGCCAGTTTTTTAATTACCAGAATTCGCAGTTTGTAATTTACAAAAAAACATATATGTCCAGTTTTTAAACGACCATAAATATCCAATTTTCTGATGACCAAAAATTTATGTCCAATTTTCAGATAATCAAAAATTTATTTATTTTTAAACTATAAAATTTTTAAGCAATCTATTTCCAGTTTTTAAAATACCAAAAAATATATGTCCAGTTTTTAAATTAAGAAATCTTTTTAACTTTTTAAATTAACGAGAAATTGATTCCAGTTTCCAAATGAGCAAGTTTTGGGGATAGCATTTTTTTTTAGTATTTAAATTGAAAAGAATTTATGCCAATTTTTCAGATGACCGAAAATTTATGTCCAGTTCTTCACTTACCATTAATTCATGTCTAGTTTTTAGATGACCAAAACTTTATGACCAATTTTTGAATTACAAAATTTTTTCCGATTACGAATGCCCAGTTTTCCGATGACTAAAAATTTATATCACGTCTTTGCTAACAAACGAAAATCCAGTATTCAAATTACATATTAAAAAAAAAAAAATGGGCCGGGTTTTTAAATTGCCAAAAAAATGTATAATCTCTACAGCTCGTCCGAACTTTCATAATCTTTTTTGAGTTGTGTCGTTATGGAAGAGGACAAGCGATAGGCGTACTTTTAGATACAGAGGTCCGGGTGCTACTTTGTTAAATAATAATATGTAATATTTTGTCTCACATTTCTGGCACACCGATAAATAAGTTATGGGCCGAAATGAATAACTTAACGCACGCTTGAGAGAAGGATTAAGCAGCGGAAAAAGAATTTTGAGGTAACGAAGACAGCAGCAGGAATCAAAAGCCACATTGCATCAAAAAAAATAAGTGATGAAGTGTGCACTAGCAACCCACAGCCACAGTCTAAGCGCCCACACTACTATAAAATATAGCTTATGTGTAAGTAATGGAAGAAAGTACATACCAACACATTCTGGTCAATCAGACAGCAAGGAAGCCGTTGTGGCCGATCAGCCAAACAGTCAGTCAGACAGTCAAGCAACTGAGATATGCTTACCCTGCGCCACTCAACACCCGGAGGTCATTGTACAAGTGCGTGCTGGTCAGGGCGACTCAGCTACAGTACAACAACAACAACACTTCGTCCTGCCCATCGCAAGTCACGTTTTATTTATGCAAAATGGACACATGCCGGTGTATGTAGGGATATGGAATGCTTTAAGGCTGTGGCTTTGAACGAAACGTGTTGTAAATGTAAACAAAATAAATATGATGGATCTGCATAAGCTGCTAGAAATTATTGTTTGTTATTTCAAGGTGGTGAATGAAGGCAGTGATGGTGGTAAGTGAGGTAAGGGTTGTTTCGAAGGTAAAAAGTGTAATTGAAAAGTTATGACAAAGTCAAGGGGTATTAAATTTAAAGTGATTGAGTTATCAGGGTGAATAGGTAAGTAACTTGCAGTCAAACAGCGTCTGAAGACTATAGTATATACTCGTATTTGCTGAGTTTTCAATTGCAAATTTAAGCTGGTGGAAGTTTTCCGCATAAGTATTTTTTTGGGATTTAAATCAAAAATATCGGTCACAAACTGCCTAATTACTTATACTCTTGATGTTCAACCTATAGCAAAATTTAGAAAAATCCATGCACCAAAGATAACAAACTAATTTGATGAATATTAAACCAAAAAACATTCGGACAAAAATGGTTGTTTTTTCAGAAATTGAATTAATGCCAAGTTGCACGAAAATCAAATCGATGATACAAATGATTTGTACGCGACCACATTTGACACGTACGCATTTTGCATTTCAATATTAAGTAGATACCTAAATTTCAAAGCAAAAAGCAAGCGTACCCACTCGTTTTTGGACACCTCCCTCCCTCGCCTCTATGTCAACACCTCCGTTAAATTTGTTTCGCCTACCCAAGCATTGATTAATCGTCTCACTTACCGCGTTTTGCCGCTATCGCGTGGTTTCAATGGGCGTGTCACCGACATTAGGCGATCCCAAGTGACTAATGTCAGCAGCAAAGTCGATGATTGACAGCTGAATGTGCTCAGGAAGCCTGAAAGCGGACAAAAAAAATAGATTGAATATAAAAAGAAAAATGTAAATAAAAACAAGTGACAAAAATGAGATGAAAACCAATCAGCGCAGCACACAGTGGGACGTCCCCATATAAGCTGCGGCCAAAAGTAGTAACCGTACTTGAAATTCGCTGAAATTTCGTATATGCGCTATTCGGAACTTAGGAATGAAAAAATGTGGAAAATGATACAATTTAACGCGCCACCACGCCCACAGCTCTTGTGGGCGGAAATAGTAAATGTTATCCGATTTTGATGAAATTCAGAGCATATGCTGGTTTTAACCAGAAAACCTTAAATCTGAAAGAACGTCGAAATCGGTTTACACTATCGTCCAGCAATTTTAGAAAAACGGGAGAAAAAAAAAACTTTTTTGGTGAAATTCGGTGTGCCCTGCTCGTTTAAGTCAAAATTTTCGAGCTTTGAAGATAATAAAGAATTTTCTTATTACGGCGCCCACCTCCTATACAACTTTTTTACTTTATATTGCATATTATTTACATATCTTGCCCATCACCTCTACAATAAAAATTCAATAAATTTTACAGAAGGTGGGTCTATAAAAGGAAGAATAGAAGCTGAACTCGCAGTTCCTCGCAGCTGGAACTATTTGAGATATGACACGCATATTTAATGTTTACTTATCCTAGGCATAATACAGCTCGCTCCCTTTGTCTTTTTACAACGCTTTTATTAACTTGCAATGTTGTGCGTCCAGAAACTTTCAATGTTGTGGATCCAGAAACTTTCAATGTTGTGTGTCCGACACCAAAGCAAAGCTTTGGAAAGTTCCTATAAAAAAGCATAGTGCATAGGGCGACAGCTGTAGTGAATAGGGCGAGGTAGATGACATCTAGATGTCGCCCTATGTACTACGTTTGCTACAGCGGAAATAGACGACACGCCATTTCTTTAAATAAAATTAATTGGTGCTCGTTTGTATGTACATACATATGTAAATGCATGTGTGTGCACCTTTCTATTAATATCGTTGAATTATTTTAATATCTATTGCAAAATTTTATTCAGACAGGACTAAAAAGTAGAAAATAAATAATATAAAAAAAACTTTTTAATATACAACGCTTTTATAAATGGACTAAAAAGTAGAAAATAATACTTCTCAGTCCCATAGAATTTGTTTTGATAACTTTTGATTTTGAAATTTTAGCAAAAGTCATTATAAACAATCTATGAAATTGAAAATGAAAAGCGTGGGGCGCATGTAATACACTTGAATTGATATGAAAAGTAATATATGTATGTATGTATGTGGGTATATGAATAACGACCGCTTAAAATCGATTTCAAAGTTCTACTTTCGCTGTAGAAATTTTAGGTCTACGTTATGTAGTTTGACTATTGTCAATTAAATCGAATGCTTTGTATTGCATGCGCTCCACGTTCGAAATCTATAAAACAGTTTACCTTGATTTTTTGAGTATAAAATTTTTCGAGTGCTTACTTTAAAAAGTTTTATTTAAATAAATAATATAAAAAAAAACTTTTTAATATACAACGCTTTTATAAATGGACTAAAAAGTAGAAAATAATATTTCTCAGTCCCATAGAATTTGTTTTGATAACTTTTGATTTTGAATTTTTTTAAAGCAATGCTTGAACGCAGATATATACAAAAACTGCTCATCAATCAGATTGGCTTTTTATATATCCGCGCAAGTGGAAAAATTAAAGCAAATTACTTGCGACAAAATTTAAATTTTTTCTTATAATTTTAGTTTTTCGCATTGTTCCAACTTTAAGTTCATGACTGCAAATTTGCATAAATTCTTGTTGGTTTGGGTTAGATGGATATTTTGCTATGCATATGTGAATTACTTTTTCAGAATTCGCTAATCCAGTTTTACCACTTTTGGCCGCTGTAGTCCCATTGTGCAGCGCTGTCTTCGGCCATGACGAAGGTTTCACGCTGTTACTGCAGAAAATAAAAATTGGTTGACCCTAACCATTGTGAAGTTATACTGGGTGTAGTAATAAGGGCGCGAAGAAAGATTTGGCACTATCTTATTTGAATTGTTTTCTTTAAAAATGTCTATAAAATAGCCGAATGTCAAGAAAACAAAAATAAAGCGAGAAAGATGTTTTATTACTTCAGCTGTTTATAATTTCACAATGGACCCTAACTACTTATATGAAGGAGTTATATTCATAACATAAACGAGCCATATTGCAAAAACATATATATATGTATGAGATATATGTATGTATATACCTTATACAAAACTGACCTTGAATATTCTCTCAGTCGACTTTGTACGATTAACTAGTAGATCACTCACGAAATTTCACAGTTTTAGGCATCTAATCAATTGTAAGGGAGGTATAGGCTAGAGTTACCTGGTCTTTGTGATAAATATATGGAAAAGTTATAATTGAGAAGTTATAATGCAAAATCTCTTTTCTCAGTTGCATTGAAGCTAAGGTTGTAGTGTCAGACTTTGCCAGTTTCGACAGATGACTTCTACATTGTAAAAATACACCCGCTCATCAAATTTCAGTCGTATGTCTCCAAAACTGAGAGACTAGATTGCGTTCAAATAGTCAGACGGACAGAAAGACGAACGAACATGACTAAATCGACTCAGCTCGACATTTTGATCATTTTAGTATACTTTTTCATGGGACTAACCAAGGTTATAATACAATTTCATGTTCATAAAAGGTATAACTAATATTTGTTCAAGTGCCAAACGCAATTCACTGCGCCACTTCAAGTGTGCTCAAGCAGCTGCTCGGGCTACCTTAATGGAATTTTCGCATTTTACATCAATTTGTAAATTAAACAAATTTCATAATTTTTTCTTTGTCTTTGCATTTGACACCTTTATACATACGTCACTTTGCTGCCTGTATACAACATAGCATCCTGATTCAATACTCACCCGAGAAATCGCACCACACACTGTGTCGCCATAATTCATCGTAGATTATGTATTTGTCACGAAATTTAATATCAGCACAAGCGATTATCGTTAAGTAGATGCCCATAAGAAAGTCACTGGCGGCCAAATGACGTAGGTACAAAGAGTGTTCGACATTGCTGCGCGATTTGTAGAAGCAGCGGCCGAGTAGGACGAGCAAATTGCCAATGGTGGCGATAAAGGCCATCGCCCAGACGCTGATGGGGAAGAGTAAACAAAATGGATGGTTAAAAGGTTAATAAAATATTTTATGAATACTTTTAGAATAATTGTAAATTTTTTATAAAGTTGACACTTTGAATAGGTTTAAAAATATATGTATGTACACTCGTAGTCGTTTGATGATTACTTAATGTGTCCCTCAGTAACGATTTGAAAAAATTCCCTCTCAGAGTCAGCTAATGATTCGTTAACGAGATTTAATGAACATTAAAGTTAAGTGAACAAAAACCTTTACTTAACTTTTTAACGAATGGTCTTGAAATTTTTTGTTTGTTTTCAATAAATTTCAATTCCTATAACCTTTGCTGTAACAGTGACAATGGCCCTGTGAGCAGAGTACTTTCGTGTTATGCAAGAGATCCGAGTTCAATCCTCGGCAACGAATTTTTTTAATACAATTTTTTTTTAAGTTTTATTGCTTAAAATTTTTTTTTTCATTTCGTTTAGTTTTCAGACTACTTATTGCTAAACGATAAATATAATAACACTATAAGCACATATTTCAATTAGTTATTCGAAATACAGAAAAGGGCTTTCAAGATAGTTGCCGATATATAAAGACTTTTGGGTCTCGATATATTAATATGAGTTGAAAGACAGATACCAAAATTGGCCTGTTATTAAGGCGCTGGCCCAATGAAGGCTTGCTGTGCACGCCTTACTTACTTTAATTTGCTTTGATTTACTTCAAAAACTCGTTTGGCCAAATGGCGGCTTGGAACGCTGTCAAAGCTACCAGCTGTGTAGTTTAAAAATTAAGGTCTGTTCCCTTACACTAAGAATAATTTTCCCACAAAATTCCAGAAAACTTAAAAAAATACAAACAATCTTTTCAGATTTATTTTTAAATTGATGCGAATTAGTTTTTGCATTTCAAAGGAATGATAATAATTATACATATATAACTATAGGTACATTTATTAAAAACAATAAAAAAAAAACATTTTTTCAAGAGACGAATGACCAGTAGTTTGACATCATAAATATCGCTAGCTTTGTGTGAAAAGTTGCTAAGTCCACAATTTGTGAGACCTCATGATAAAGGAAGCAAGAGAAATTAAGAATTAAGGTACTTGTTTTATTTTTTCTCGTTTATATTCAATTAAAGGCAAATTTTCTAAGTCCAGAAAAGGCCCCCAAAATCCGATAAGGCCAAAATAATATGAAATCTTTTAATAAAGATCGAATCCTTTTGATTCGTATGGAGTTTTGCTCTGCTTTAAACACGCAAAATGTCGTATTCAAAGTTCCTGTAAAATTTGTAAAACCGGACTTAGCAACTTTTCGGCCAGCGATATGTTAAATATAAATATGGAAACATATGATCATTTTTATTAAACTTTGAATTACTTATATTATATATATATTTTTTAATTACGTAAGCAAATGTTTGTTCATAAAACGGTGCAGCAGTTTGAATTTATTTAGAACGGGGACATACCTTTATGTCAAAAGCCTACAAAACGCTTTCAAATAAAACATTTGCATATTTGAAACTTTTAGGCGCTTAAAGCAAGTGAAGCAAAGCTGCCATTTGGCCAGCCTTCATGCATTTTAGTATATTCCAAATAACTTTTGACAGTTCTCAAAGCGAGGCAAGCAAAGCAAGCCCGCATTGGGCCAATACCTTTAGTCTTGCTTGTCTTTTAGCAAACAATTTAATTAAATTAAAATTATTTTCCTTTTTAAAGCAATAAAATCTATAAATCAAATAAAAATTAGATCAAAAAAGCAAACAGATTCAATACAGATAATTTATAAAAATTAACAAGAAAAAAAAATAAATAAAAAAGGAAAAAGAAAATTTTCCTGCCCTAGGATTCGAACTCGGATCTCTCACTCAGCTCTGCTCACTCAGCCATTGCGTATGTTGAGCCAGTGCGCGCAAAATGATATAAATACTTATTTTTATATTTTATTTCAAACTGGACGAAAAAAGTGAGGACCGCAACTGGGGCCATACTTAAATTTTTCATTTCATAAGTTCTGACTCTGAGAGGAAACATTAATTAACTGATTTACAGCCGCACTCAGAGTCGTTTAATGATTACTTAAGGTGTCCCTCAGTAACGATTTGAAAAAATTCCCTCTCAGAGTCAGTTAAATACTCGTTAACGGCATTTAATGAACATTAAAGTTAAGTAAACAAAAACCTTTACTTAACTTTTTAACGAATGATTTTGAAATTTTTTGTTTGTTTTCAATAAATTTCAATTTCGATAACGTTGCTGTGACAGTTGCAATGGCCCAGTGAGCAGAGCACATTCGTGNCGAACAAGACCAATAACCGGCCAATACTGGCATCTGTCTTTCAACTCGCCTCAGTCTTTCGAGAGACAAAAGTCTTTATATTTCGGCAACTATCTTGAAAGCTCGTTTCTGTATTTCGAATAACTAATTGAAAGTTATGCTCTTTAATAGTGTTATTATATTTACGGTTTAGCATTAAGTTTTCCAAGAACTAAACGAAATGAAAAAANTTTTTTTCTTTCGCTTTCATTTCCCCAAATTTGTAGTTTTTCCTGTTTTAAAAAAATATTTTTTTTAAAACAGGATAAACTAAAGAAGGCGAAAAAAGATGAATCAAGAAAGTTTAAAAACGTTAAATAAAATAAAAAATATGATTTTTTTAAGCAATAAAACATAAAACATTTAGTTGAAAACAAATCCGTTGCCGAGGGTTGAACTCGGATCCCTTGAATGGCACGAAAGTGCTCTGCTCACTGGGCCATTGCCACTGTTACAGCAACGTTATCGAAATTGAAATTTATTGAAAACAAACAAAAAATTTCAAAATCATTCGTTAAAAAGTTAAGTAAAGGTTTTTGTTTACTTAAGTTTAATGTTCATTAAATGCCGTTAACGAAACACTAACTGACTCTGAGAGGGAATTTTTTCAAATCGTTACTGAGGGACACCTTAAGTAATCATTAAACGACTCTNCATAAAGACTTTTTTCTCTCGAAAGACTGAGGCTGATACCAGAATTGGCCTGTTATTGGTCTTGTTTGTTTTTTAATCTAATTAAATTAACAAAAAATTTGTTTCCTTTTTAAAGCAATAAAATCTATAAATCAAAAGAAAATTAGATCAAAAAAGCAAAAAAATTCAATAAAGATAGTTTATAAAAAATAAACAGGAAAAAAATATAAATAAAAAGGAAAAAGAAAATTTTCCCGCCCTAGGACTCGAACTCGGATCTCTCGAATGGCACGCCAGCGCTCTGCTCACTCAGCCATTGCGTCTGTTGAGCCAGTGCGCGCAAAATTATATAAATACTTATTTTTATATTTTATTTCAAACTGAACGAAAAAAGTGAGTGATGCCACAAAAATGAAGGGCCGCAACTGGGGCCATACTTAAATTTTTTATTTCATAATTTTTAACTCTGAGAGGAAACATTAATTAACAGATTTAACGATCATTAGTTAAGTGCCCATTAGAGCTTATTTAAGGAACCATTCTGAGTGCGGCAGTTAACTATCATTAGTTAAGTGCCTGTTAGAGCTAATTTAAGGAACGTTTCTGAGTGGGGCTGTTACGAGTGAGAGAGAGCCATTTTTCTTGGCTTAATGAATATGGATGTATGTCCATAGTGTGGGGTAATTGACTCGGTTTTCGTCGCACCGGTTTCAACCGGTTCCCTTTTAATATTTTGAGGCGGTGTTTTATGAAACCTTGATTTTTCGAATACCGAGTAAAGCGAATTTTTACAATTGATTAAACCGGGGTTTCAGCTAGTTTATTTAAATATATACCAGAATCTAAAAATTCTAAATAGAATTTTTTCAAATAAATAAAAGAAAAATAGAACAAAAATGTTTCACTGTTTTTTTAAAGCTTTTATTTAACTTGCTCTGTATGAATGTATGTATGTAAGTATGTTTGTTTGGAGGAAATCTTGCAATCAATTTTTGACACACATCCCGATGACCCAGAGACTTGAAACTTCATCCGATAGGTGGCGCAGGAGTCGAGATATTTTAAAAGCCCATATTTATAGTCCGATTTGGTTCATATTTAGAACGTACATCAGCTCCATGAAAAGGTATAACGGCACTAAAAAATGTGCCGATAGGTGGCGCACGAGTCGATAGGTTTGGTAAACCAATCCAATTTAGTTCATATCTAGAAAGCTTGTTTAAAAATTTTTTTTTTTATAAACTTCTTTTTTTGTGTTGCAGCAGCTTACTAAACTCAGTCCAAATGCCTGCATGTCGTCTTCATTCCCATCAAACAGCAGGTTCAGGACAAGGCCAGATCTGACAGAGTGTTAAGAGGTGGTTAATGTCAAAGTGGGCTTAACAGTTTAACCTGCTACGAAGCAACTCAAAAAAAATAAAGGGACAAAATTCTTCATGAATGGCCTGTCAATAACAGACTATTTTTGTATAGTCGGTCTGATTCAGCGGGGGGTATATTCTAATTTCCAAGACAGTCGGTGCTATATGCTTGAGTTTTACGCGACAAATAACTGTGGACCGCATTAAGTGTTAATTTTTCACTCATACTTCGAACTTATTTCGAATTATTGATTTCTATTTTGAGCAGTCATAATCTGCCTTATCCTGAGTTTCGCCCGAAAAAAAATTCACCCGAAAATTTTTCCCCCGCCCATAGTAAATACATGGAAACGAAAAGTGATAAGTGAACCGATTCGGGGAATATGAAACTGATAATGATTTTTAACTAAAAATAAGTGTTACCGTAGCGAAAATATGTAAACTAAAACCGGTTTATTTATACAAATTCACCACAAAAAAAAAATCAAACTTAGGCAGCAACTGGCCGTCTACTAAGTTATGACCAACCAGTGCATTTGTTAAAATTCAGTTAACTATAAGGGATGTGGTCTGCAAAATTCTTTAGATTTCAGTTTTAACAATACATCCGAATTACTACAGCAGAGCGAACAACAGCTAATTCAATTAAATCCTGAGCATTTAAAGTGCACAACTTCCGTTTTTAACGCGCCAGCTGTTTGCTGCAAAAAGTTTTCACTGCCAACAGAGAAATAAAAAAAAGATCAACAAAAACGCCCAAAGAGACCAACCGAATAATTCAAACAAAAGAAAAGTTGACAGCAAGTTCAGTACGCGCCAGCAGAACTTTTAGTTTTAAAGCAGATTTTTTGCCCTCTTCAGGCTTTACGCTCGTTTAGTTTGTACTCTGGCAGCGAGCGGCTGGTAAATAGACAATTTGAGCACGTACAACCGGCTGGAAATGGAATGCGGTTTTGTTTCTGCGCTGGTTAAGGCTGCTTTGCTCGAGACCGGTGGTGTTATAAGTGTTGTTAGTGTACTATTTGTGCACAGCAAAGTTATTTATTTTGTTACCATCTGCATGCTGTTGCACGGAGAAATATTTTGTATGAGGTGTTAAGGCTTTTTGTTTCTGCTTTTAAGAGGCAAAAAAGTGTTTCATTAAATTTCTTATTACATTTTTTTCTGTTTAAGAGCCGAAAAATAGCTTGATTCTATTTAAAATTTTAGTTAAAGTCCGAAAAAGTAATGTTTTTTTTTAATTTTTTATTAAACTTTTTGTTTCCAAGGGACGAAAATTTTATGCCGCTACTTTTTTCCAATAACTAACCTCTAAATTTTTTTATAATACATATCAGCAAAAAAAAATAATAATTTCCTATACCACCAACTGCACAGGCATACATACATATGCACATACATAAGTAGGTATGCACTTCACAGGGGTCGCTATGGCGTATGAGTAAAATTTCAATGAAATTCAGTTTATTTAGCTAAAAGCTGCTGCTTCTGCCACGACTTTTTGATTTTGCTTTTTAGCAACTAGAAGAATCATGCAATTCATTGCTTAAAAGTATTTGGCTTGCTTTCAACTCTGATTATATGTATGTACATATGTATATTTCCCCTATTTTTAATTCTAAGATGCAAACTATGTCAACTCTTTGGCTTTGAGTCAATAAAAATCCATATCAGGCGAATCGAATATTTATTTAGTCATGTTATTTAATGAGTAAACGGGAGACTTTTGTAAGTAAAAATTAATCAGCTTAACCCTTTAAAGATTTGCGTAAGTTAGAAAATTTTGGACAAAAATTGTAATAATACTATCTTAGCTAAGGGGTGATAGGATGGCCAAGGTAAAAATTTAAAGAACTAAAAACTTACGCCCAATGTTTAGGTGAGCAAAAATGTTTGACCAACTGCCAAGATGTCAGATATTTAATTCCACTTTTTAACCCTTACACGTACACTTATTTTGGAGCATCTTTTTGAGAACCTTTGGGAAAGCAATATGAACGTATTTAAAAAAAATATGGAAATATTATAAGGCTTATGATGTCTATTTTCTCCTCGTAGTTCTAAATTTTCAGTTTTAGATCAAATTATACGCGAAATTTGCGTTTCCAACAAGTAATGTGTCGGCGATTCGCCTGTAGGAACGCTAAAATTACCCAAAAAAACTACGAGAGACGTAAAATTAATTTTAGGTCGTAGGTTACGCATGTACATATATACCGTTTTTCAAGATCAGGTTATTTTCCCAAGATATTATCAGTTTCAGTTTAAGTTTGCATTGTGAATGTAAAAAAATTCAAACTTTCATAGCGAAGAAATAGCGTACACGGCGTATGAGTAATATTCCTTCCTGCTTATATAAAAAATCATAACTCATTTTCATTTGACCATTAACAGCTTTTTTATCTATTCATCGAATTTCTGTGTTAGTTGTTTAATTTTTTGTAAAAAAACAGGCTTAATACAAATGAAAAAATTTACAAACATCTTTTACTTTTTTTAATTTTTTAATTTTTTCATGAAAATTAAATTATCTTGGGGAAAACGAACTGATCTAGAAAATTAATAAAAAGATTCGTAATCTACTAACCAAAATTAAGTCCACGTGCTTCGACGTTTTTTGTGTCATTACAAAACTTCGGATTTTCCTTACGGCGCCATTTACACTCTATGTTTGCATTGCCAAAAATTGATGGCTAGTTTTTTGAATTGCTAAAATATTATATTCGCTTTTTAAGTGAATAAAAAAATATGTCCGGTTTTAAAGAATCCCAAACCTTATATCAAGTTTCATGTTTATATTTACTGACACCTATGTCAATTTTCAAATGTCCAAAAATGTATGCACCATTTTTAAATCAGCAAAAAAACATTTTCAGTTTATAAGCGAGAAAAAAAAATTATGTCCATTTTTTGAATGGCCAGAAAGTTATTTCTAGTGTTTAGTCTCAAACTTTTAAATACAACAAACATAACAAACATAATATATCATTCTAGAATAATCGTGGAAAGGACAAAAAATTTGGCATTGGAAGATTTTGTTGAATGCAACCAGATAACGAAACAAATTTGGGATTTTCCTATTTGTAAATTTGTTCTGTAGGTTTTTGTTTTATTTAATCCGTAGAATGCTTAACGCTTTTTAATATTAAGGGAGAGCGAAATCGTACTAAATTAGGTTGAGTTGTTGGCCTTCCTTGTGGAATTCGATTAAAAGCTTCCTGTCGCTGACTGAAAACATTATTTACTTGAACGACTACATAGATTAAGAATTTTCATTTTCTTGCTAAATATTTCTATGAAATATGTATTTTTTATATTTAAATATGTACGTACTATATAAATTTCACCCTTTTCCACCCACTTCCCTCCTTTACACTCACCTCGCGCGCAATATCTGATTATCCAACAAGTGATAAGTGCTACTAATACCATCACCATGCGGTTCACAGACGCGCACATGCAGCGCGGCGCGACACAAATGGAACCAAGAGAAGTAGCTGAAAGAAAACAACCAAAAATAAATAGTAAAAAGTCACAGAAAATGTGATATGAAACAGAGTATTATGTGAATGTTTTGCACTGCAGTGCCACGTTGTGTGCATTGTGGCTGATCAGCGTTACGAGCTTTGTAGAAAGGCTCTTCGCAATAGAAAACATACCCACACAACTGCAGATATGTACATACATTGCAACAACAACAACATAATGCATACCACTCTACTTACATATAATTCAAATTTGTCAGATTCTGCAAGACACGCGGATCCAATGTCTTGAATTCATTGCCCGTCAGCAGCAGTGATGTAAGATTCTGCATGCAATCGAAGGCATGCAACTCGAAGTGCGCCAAGCGGTTGTCGTTCAGGTGGCTGCAAGAGGTAAGAGAAAAATAAGAAAAGAAGAGCAAAAGAAGTAATAGAATTTGACTCAGGTAATAGTTATTAGACTAAAGCAAGCTATAAGCCACAATCTAAAGCTAGCTGACAGCTTGCAAAATACGAGCATGTGGAGGTAAAAGCACATTGTGTCGAGTTAGTTTAGAAGGCAAGAGGTGGCAGAGGGGAGATATTTATAGTAGCAAGACAAAATAATGTGATATGGAAATGGAGTAGAAGGAGGGACCGCGTGAACCACTTGAGAGACAGGTACGTAGCGGGCGTATACGTAACAAAGTGGGAACAGGTGCATTGTGACGTAGAGAAATTAAAAGTAAAATAAACTAACGGCGTTTTCTTTTTTCGAACAAAATTTCAGAGTGTAACATTTTAAAGAAAGGGCATGCAATATGCCTGAAAAAATGCTAATAAAATAACACGAAAACTTTACAGCCCTAGCGGTGGGCAGGGTAAAAAAGAAAAGCTATAAAATAAAATATGTACATACATATACCGAAAGAAAATCGCAGCTAAAAAACAGAAATGCGAAAAAAGTCTTAACAATTTTTAGCTTGGTTTTGCACACTGAACATAACTAAATAACAATAAAAAAAAATTATATATATAAGCTTAAAATTCCATCCAGAGGATGCAGCCGTCATCAAAGCATTCTTTGGTTATTTACTTTGTCAAAGATTGATTGTTTTTTTTTTTTTGTCATAATTGCTAAGCAAAGTGGAAATGATTAAAGTTGCAAACAGACAAATTTCCTCTTTGTGAGACACAATTGAAAGATATTTTTAGTTGCACAACATAAAAAAGGCCTAAAATTCAATGCTGCATACCAAACTAAAAAAAAAAATCAGAATTCGATTCAAAAATGCCCTATCTCACTTCAAAATGTATTGAAAATGTGCTGATATACGTTTTTGAAAGGTTTTTTGAGATAGGGCGTTTTCGAACTGACTGCCGAGATAGGTCGATCTTCCACTTAGCAGTCGATATGTTTTCAAAACTATTTTCCAGTTTATTTTTTCTTGTTACTGACGGAATTGACATATCGTCGTTTAAAGTACAAAACCGCGTATCAACAAAATGCAAAATCTCGTATGTGAATTTGCCAAAATTTTATAGCAGAGAGTAAAACTTGTCCTATTTCAAAATGGTTCTTGCTTTTTTCCCTAATTATCACTTCTTCTTATATCTAAGTATCGATATTTTAGTATGAGTGGATAAGGGCTTGATACCAGGAGCTTCCAGTGAGCAAATATCTCTTTTGGAACAAATGTCAGTTACGCGGTTTAGTACTTTATACGACGATATGTACATGGAGTTAGCAAGTTAACCTAAATATTTTTTTCTAACTAAGAAACCATCACGCGGAAACGACTGTATGGATTTGCATGGAATTTCGTACGCAGATAGCTTATGGCCTATATTGGACAATCGGCTGCTTTTTTATGAGTTGCCACCTGTTAAAAATTTTTTATTAATTTCTTTCGCGGAATTTACTGAACTTATTTGCATGAAATTTTGCACACTGACAGCTTATGACCTAGGTTGGAAAATAGGCTACTTTTCTTAAGAGTTGCCATCTGGAAACGACACGTTCACGCGGCATATCGCTAGAACCATTTTAAGGTAAACTTAGAGGTACTATACTTTCCTGCCAACCTTGCTTGAAACAATTTTTTCTTTTGATCTATTTATTCGCATTAATTTTATCTTACTTCGTTTCTAGCCAATCAAAACAGACTGCCAAAATTCAATTTGCTTTTGATTGCCCATTATCAACATGATGGCCGAAAAATTGAGTAAACAGAAACGTAGATGTGCACGTACATATATCTAAGTTACGTCTAAGCACCGCAAATACCATGCTGCCATAGCTTACCGTTCTGCCGTATCAGCTTACAACTCACCAAAGTCAAATATATGTATGTATGTATGTACAAGTACTAGGCGTGAGCCTTGCGGAAAGTCATCTAACAAATAGCCGCTTGATGAGCTTTACACTGCACGTGTGACCTTCAAAACGCTTTCAACCGCATTACCTGCTGTTGCTTACTTTATTCGTTATTTTTTCGTATGCTTTATAGCCGCCACTTAATCTCTTAAGAAGTGAAAACGAAACCTAAATATTTATTTATCATATCATTGCTCTCCACGCGAGCTCCTCAAAAGTATTGTCACGCTTAAGTGAGACATGTTAGCTGTCAGCGTAAGGATTCACGGATATGCACGGCCTGAAACAACGTGTTTGGCTTAACAATTGCAGCGCAGTCACTGTGTTTTCATTTAAGTACTTATTTTATTTCTTTTATTTTTTCATTTACCCACAGCGAGTGAGCTGCAAAGTGAATATTAGTAACGGATATGTGTGAATTGACGTAAATTGAAAAATAATATAACTTTGGCGTCTCACAGTGCTGTGTCTCCATATAAAAAGTGGGCAAAAATAGAATAATGGACGGATTTGAGTAAAAATTCGTTTCTTGGTGGATTAGAGTACGGAGATTTCAAAAATCAATTTTTTTTTTACCTAGCTCTTACATTTTTCATGGAAACTGAGATTGAAACTGCAAAATTTGATATTCAGAAGTAGTTCCAATACTGAGTAGTTATTTTATTATTTATACAGGGCGTTTTCCTAATAATATTAAAGACTTCAAGGCTTCATTCTATGGCTTAATTCATGGCAAATAAGATTCCCTATATCTCTCTTACGCAAACCCTCTAGGAATGGCAGCTACTTTCATTTTGGTCCTTTTTGACTACAAAATGTTTTTTTTAAATTGATTATATCTTTTGGTGTGGATGTCACACGCTTAAAAAATTTGATTCATTCAAGACGACATTAAATACTCAAAAGACAAATATAATTTTGTTTTCCTTTTTATTAGTTACTTCGCACGAACAAGAGTTGTTGCAAAATACTGAATCAAAAATTATTTGTTTTATCTAACGCCGTTTATTGAAAAATTAAAGTCATCATGCAGTCAAATTCCAAACTACTCAGCAAACACACTAGTTCATTGACTATATATTTTGTGGTGTATTCATACATGTATTGTGGTGTATTCATACATGAATTTTGTGGTGTATTCATACATGAATTCATTCATGAATTTCGGGTTGAAATCATACTAGTCAGAAAAAGTGTAATCTATACTAGCTCTTCTATAAGTGTAATCTATACTAGCTCTTCTATCGAGCTCTTCGATGGAATAGTTTTTCAACAAATGCTCTACCCTTCGATTTTTTGTTCTCCGTGAAGCTTCGCAAAATTCTTCTTTAGAAGGTCTTCCCCGTTCAGCACATTTATCCTTATTTCCATTGGAATCCGGAAGGGAAAGGAATGTCCAATTTAGCCATTTAGAATATGTTTTTTCAAAAGCGCTTCTTTTGCGGCCACTATAATTCCACTTATTTTTCATCTCACTATTAAAAAGTTTTATTTTTTGTTCCAAAAGTGCTTTGTCGCATTTAGCGCGTATTAATTTGTCTTCAAAAAATGCAGATAATGCAGACACTCTATCTGATGGACGAGTAGAAATCCAGATATCAGCTAAAATTGAGTTTTTTATAATTGAATTCATATTAATATTAGTTTTTTCACTATTTTACGCTTCACTACACAGCACAGAACACTACCGCGTGTGTCTACAGTAATAAACTTTACTATTTTTAAAGAATGTTTTGGCATTTAAGTAATGGAAAATACTGTGGTAACTGTAATCAGTGAAATTTTTTTTTTGCAAAAGTTTATTTTATAACCTTAAAAAAAACGATTTTCTTCGAAAAGCGCAATGAGTCTGCAGAATAAAAGAAAAAATAAAAGAATAAAAAAAACATACTTTTACATATTTTTTTTTTATCCCTTTGTAAACTTAGGAATTTTTTAAATTTTCTGCAACAAATTTTAGGGTGTAGCAAATAGGCCATTCCAGCCAGGAAACTCAATATTTTTTAAAAAGCTCTATAGAGTGGTTTCCTTACAGATTTTCTAATTAGAAAAATTGTGTCTTAAGATAAAGTATGATAAATTGTATTTTTAGCAATTTTTTTTTNAGAAAAAATATATAAAAAACACACAACTTTAAGAGGTTTTTGTGAGAACCTTATGAGATAAAAACAAAAACTAAGTCCAGATCCTTAATCTAGGATAAATTTCCTTTCCAACGATACCAAACACGTAGACATACGTGACAACAATTTTTTTGATTTTTGCCCGCTCATACAGCACTGTGCGTCTGCTTGGTAAGTATTCCTTAGCACACAAATAATCAGCATCCTTGCCATTGCTATTTGCCCCTGAAAGTATGCTTTTTGAACTAGCGCTAATGGCAAACAATAACAAATACAAGCGTACTCTTTAAAGGGTGCCAAAAACTCTAGCCGGAGACACATTGATTACTTTGACCGCCAGACCGAGGATGTGTGCCAATTTGAACGTTACGTATACGCACCAGTGCTCTAAAGTAATATTCAGCTGAGAAGAGCACATGCTTGAGTTTGAAATAAGGGTGATATGCATATTGGTAAGTATTTAGATTCTGAAATTTCAAAATCTTAAGGATAATGTGAAAAGCGGTTAAAAAATAGCGTTGACTTTTAATATTTTTTTTTTTTTGCTGACGGAATTTTGCACTTTTTTACATATAAACCAGAATTTTTTTTGAAATAAAATGCGCAAGACCGTTCGCAACAAAATTAAAAAAAAAAACTCAACGCTACTTTTTATAAATTGCATTTGTTATATAAAAAAAAACGCAAAAGCCGTCAACACAAAAAAATAACTACATTTTTAGTTTTTTGAATTATATCTGATTTTTATCAAAGAAAAAAATAATATGTTCACTTTTCGCTTGGAAAAAATTGAAATCGAAATTTATTTTACTACCGCCCGCAACACACAATCTATAATTTAATACATATTTATTTTTTGTTTCCAACTCTATTTTTAATTTTGTTTTTTTTTTGCAATTATTATA